GTCAGAGCTGTTTGGAGCTTCTGAAAGCTCGCCTCACACTCATCTGACCATCTAAACTGGGTACCCTTCTGGGTCAACCTGGTCATCGGGGCTGTGATAGATGAAAACCCCTCCACAAACCGATGATAGTAGCCCGCCAATCCTAAGAAACTCCGAATCTCAGTAGCTTATGCTGGTCTAGGCTAGTTCTTGACTGCCTCAATCTTCTTCGGATCAACCTGAATACCCTCTACTGATATAACATGACCTAATAATGCATCTGAACTCAACCAGAACTAAAACTTCGAAAACCTAGCATACAACTGACTATCCCTCAAAGTCTGAAGAATCACTCTAAGATGCTACTCGTGCTCCTCCCGGCTACGGGAATAGATCAAAATTACATCAATGAAGACTATCACAAACGAATCCAGGTAAGTCCTAAACACTCTGTTCATCAAATCCATAAAAGCTGCTGGGGCATTTGTCAACCCGAATGACATCACCAAGAACTGATAATGCCCGTACCGAGTGCGAAAAACTGTCTTAGGGACATCGGATGCCCTAATCCTTAACTGGTGGTAGCCAGATCTCAAGTCAATCTCTGAAAATACCTTGGCACCCTGAAGTTGATCAAACAAATCGTCAATTCTCGGCAATGGATACTTATGCTTGATTGTAACCTTGTTCAACTGTCGGTAATCAATACACATTCTCATCAATCCATATTTCTTCTTAACAAACAACAGCGGTGTACCCCAAGGCGAGACACTTGGTCTAATGAAGCCTTTATCAAGAAAGTCTTGCAATTGCTCCTTCAACTCTTTCAACTCAGGCAGGGCCATACGATATGGCGGGATAGAAATGGGCTGAGTGACTGGAGCCAAATCAATGCAAAAGTCAATATCCCTTTCGGGTGGCATACACGGCAGGTCTGATAGAAATACCTCAGGAAACTCACGAACAACAGGCACAGAATCAATAAAAGGAACCTCAGCACTAGAATCACTAACATAGGCCAAATAGGCCAAACATACCTTCTCGACCATATGCCGAGCCTTCATATAAGAGATAACACTGCGGGTAGAATGAATAGGAGTCCCTCTCCACTCTAAGTGAGGTAAACCCGGCAAGGCTAAGGTCACAGTCTTGGCATGACAGTCCAAAATAGTGTGATAAGGTGATAACCAGTCCATCCCCAATATGACATCGAAATCAACCATGTCTAGAAGAAGCAAATCTACATGAGTCTCAAGACATCCAATCACAACTACACACGAACGATGAACTTGATCTACCATAATAGAATCACCCACTGGTGTAGACACATAAATAGTAGCACTCAAAGAATCACTAGGCATGACCAGATACGGTGCAAAATAAGATGACACATAGGATTATGTAGATCCCGGATCAAATAAAACTGAAGCATCTTTGCTACAAACCAGAACAGTACATGTGATAACTGCATCAGAAGCCTCAGCCTCGGGCCTGGTTAGAAGAGCATAACATCGGATCTGGGCCCATCCACCCTGAACTACATCTCTAGGACGTCCTGTTGCTGGCTGGCCTCCACCTCTAGCGGCTTGAGCTCCACCTCTAGCACCTCTACCTCCACCTCTAGCTGGCTAGGCGGACTATGGAACACTCAGTTCCTGAACCATGGTACGGGAACACTGATGTTGAGAACTGCTTGATGCTCGAGGGCAATACCTAGCAATGTGCCTCATATTACCATAAGTAAAACAAGCCCTCGGCTGCTGGGGATGACGACCCTAAAACCTCTGAAGCGGTAGTGCACTGATAGGAGTTGGTGGTGCATTGTAGGTTTGCTGATCAGAATACTGCATATGAGAACCACGGCCACCTGAAGCACCATGAGAAACCTGAACTGCTGGCTGAAAAGGCCTACGAGGATGGCCTCTACCATATGAATCTCTGCCTCCAGACGAGGTACCACTGAATCGGCCTGAATGATGAGGCCTTTTGTCAGAACCCTGTCCACACCCCTGCAATAGAACCATCTCAACTCTCCTGGCCATATTGGCTGCCTCTTGGAAAGAAATCTCACTCCTTGTCTCCTTGGCCATCTGAAGTTGAATCAGCTAAATAAGTCCCTCAATGAACCTCCTCACCCTCTTTCTCTCGGTGGGAAGTATGATAAGAGCATGACGAGCCAAGTCGATGAATCTGGTCTCATTTTGAGTAACGATCATAAAACCCTGCTGGAGATGCTCAAACTACCTCCGATAGGCCTCTCTCTGAGTGATGGGGAGAAATTTCTCCAGAAATAGCTGAGTAAATTGCTCCCAAGTCAAAGCTGGTGATCCGGCTGGTATAGCCAAGCAATAATCTCTCAACCAAATCTTGGCGGATCCAGACAAGCGAAAAGTAGCAAAATCGACCCCATTGGTCTCCACTATCCCCATGTTCCTAAGAACCTCATGACAGCTGTCTAGATAATCCTGGGGATCCTCAGAAGATGCACCGCTGAAAGTAGTAGTGAAGAGCTTGGTGAACCTGTCCAATCTCCACAAAGCATCGGCAAACATAGCTGCTCCAACACCAATTTAAGCTACCATACCTGGCTGAACTGCTCCAACTGGCTAAGCTGCTGGAGTTTGAAACTGGGGAGCCATCTACTCCGGAGTGCGAGTAGCAGGAGTGTGGGCTCCTCCTCCAGCCTGAGAGACGGCTGGTGCTACATGAAGTAAGCCTGCCCGAGTGACACTCTCTAGAAGGTCCACTAGGCGGACTAGAGCATCCTAGAGTACTGGGGTAGCAATAAACCACTCGAAGACTTGAGCTGGGCCCAATAGAATTGTCGGGGCCGGAACCTCATCATCAAAGTCAACCTGAGGCTCCGCCGCTGGTGGTGCTGCTCTGGGCTGAGCTCTGCCCCTACCTCGGCCTCTAGCACGGCCTCGCCCTCTGCCCTTCTTGGGATCTACTGCTGGGGGCTCGGGCTACTGGTCAGTGGATTAGGAAGTGCGCGTTCTCGCCATCTGCGAAAGAACATAGTAGAAATTCAATTAGCATTGAGAAACCAAGTTGCACGACAGGAAAGAATAAATGTGAAGTTTTTCCTAACTCTGTAGCCTTTGGGGATAAATACATACGTCACCGTACCGATCCCTTAGACTCTACTAAGCTTGTCTGTGAACTATGAGACCCATGTAGCCTAGAGCTCTGATGCCAACTTGTCACGACCCAGATTTCCCACCCTCGAGAGTCGTGATGGCGCCTACTAATGTGAGCTAGGCAAGCCAACTATTTGAACTAATTACCTTTTTACCCTTTTTATATTCTTAAATAATTATAAAGCAATAACGTGTAGGCAACAAAATTTACAATAAGCAGAAAAAAAGCAATGAACTATCTGAATATGTATCCAATACAACTGCTTGAACATCGACTACCCAGAACTGGTGTCATAGTTTCACAGACGGTGTAAGAATACTACATACACAGTCTGAAAGATAAAAGATACACTATTTCTGAAATAGGTAAATGAAACAGGATAAAGGAAAGATAGGAGGTGACGCCAAGGCCCGCAGTCGTCTACAGGACTACCTCGGGTCGCATGTATGTGTCACACCTCCTTTTTACACACCCGAAGGCGATATAAGGGAGTTTTCCCAATTAAAGTGACAATCGAAACGAGATTTATTTATTTATTAAATTCAGAGTCGCCACTTGGGATAATTATGGTGTCCCAATTCACCGGTTCAAATCTCGAATCGAGGAAAATATTGACTCTGTATTATAGTCCACGAACACAGAAATCCGGGTAAGGAATTCTGTTAACCCGGGAGAAGTTATTAGGCATTCCCGAGTTCCGTGGTTCTAGAACGGTCGCTCAACTGTTATTATTGGCCTATTATCTGATTTTAACACATGTTTTAGCCTATGGTTCAATTTTAACTTTATAACCGCTTTATTTAATTTTAAGAAAAAATTGCAACATCATTTAAAATACATCTTGAACCACGTCACATAAATGCACCCCTGGCTCTCGACATATTCTATCTAACATTGTTGAGATTTGGATTTGGGTCACATAAATGTGCACCAGAGTTTAAGAATGTAATTTATTAAAATAACGTGCCTAAAGCAACGGTGCATTTGCAACTTTGCGAGGGCCATGAAAATTTGCTAAATGGCACGCCTCGGTTTCTAAGGATAAACAAGATCAATTAAACGATGGCCATGCAAATGAGATTTTTGTTTGGCATGGCACGCCCCAAGTTCAATTTTTTAAAGAGAATTCAAACTAAACTTTGGTGGGCCATAAACTATTTGTGTTACCTAATATAGCACACTTCCAATCTATTTTTGAAAAACCCAATTAATTAACTAAGAAAAATTTGCAGAACTTCTACTTATTTAAACTAAGGGTTCTACCCTACAAGTTTACCAAAATTCAGTGCATTAGAAAATTAAAGGCCCAAAGGGAAGCTATTTCAAACACCACTGAACGGACCCCTTTTAAAATGTCTTCAAGCTTTGGGCTTAAACCAAGCCCAATTTCTAATGAAAAAAAAAAGGCGCCCAAGGGTCTGATTATGATTATTCTTCAGCTGGGCCTGCGTTAGGCCCAGCTTCTAAGCTCCAAATTATCATGCCAATCAAGAATGCCACTCAACTGATACCGCAGGGAATGTGAAATCGAATTAGCAAGTTAGATCTATGATTTTAAACAATTGATAAAAATTAATTAAACTAAAATTCTGATTTCATTTTTCCAGCATGTGTTTGAATCAAGTCAGTTATGTGAAATGTCCAACAGCAACCATACAAGCCATTGGGCTCAGCAAACAAGCCCAATGCATCCAACGTGCCATCCTCTCTTGAGAATGGCCCAGAAATCTAAGGTTCCATGGACCAAAGACTTGCAAAAACCCAAAATTGGAAATCAAGACTCGAAATCAAGTCCTATCCAACACCAAGGCCTCAACAAGTTGTCAGCTCTCCAAACATTTCTAACATCCCATGCATTGATAACAAACAACAGTGGTTCATACTTGCAATTAATTTCTAAATTATTCTCACAACAAACATTGGAAATTTAAGCTCACTCAGGCCATTTAAATGGCAGTTTTAACTATGTAAAATGCTGCAAAACTTTCCAAATTGCAAAGTAAGACCTCAAACTACAGGAACACTAACTTAACACACTCAAACAACCTTCCACTATAGCATGTCTGACAATCCACTCATATGATAGATCTCAATCCTTATTACAATGCCGACATTCTGAATTTAAACCTCTATTCTAAATAGCCAACACAGCCTTAAACTAATAGCATGAACAAGCAAACCAACACATGCAAGAAAATTAAGTTACTATAGAGCTGGGGAATTTACTAACGTAAGATAACCAAATCTAGCAGTAATTACAACAAGAGATAGTGTTTTCATTTAAATTCCAACTCAAGTTTCCAGATCTTTACACCGATTCAGTCAGGCTTCAATTCCATGACAGTCTCAAAGGCATACCTGGAAATTGCAAAGGAAAAAGAAGTGAAGGATCGGCAGTAAACAGTAGAACAAAAGCACAGCAGTATCAATGCAACAGTGACCTCGCAGCAGCTTGAAACCCAGACTTTAAACCCAAAATCAAACCATTTCCCAACCCAGGTGCAAAATGTGAAAATTTTCATAGATTTTAACTAATGAAGAAGATCAGAAACCTCTAGCTAATACGGAATTTGATCAGTTCTATCAAAGAAAACTGCTAGAAATTAGTGTAGTTTTCAGAATATTTCAGCCTTTTTTGTTCTCTCGGATTTTTTCTCCTTTTTATTAAAAAAATCCTTCAATGCCAAGTAAAGGTACCTTTATAGGCAAGGCATTAGGGCAGCCTAAAAGTGTTCAATTTTGCCCTTCAGTCCTTTTCTAATTTTGGTTTTTGCTTAGGAAACCTTAGAGTAAATTTTTAGAGCTTTAAATCAGTCCCCCTTTCCAGCTTCCTAGAAGGTTCATAAGTTAGTTACTGAGATTTCCCTAAGCTAAACTATCCAAATTACCCCTTAATAACCCTCTTTTTACTGTAGGAAACCAAATAGGTCATGGGTCAATTGACCCAATGGTTAAACCAGGCATGGGCTAAAAAAATCGATTTGAATTCCTTGGAACGAATTCTGAAATGAATTCAGAGCCCAAACAGCAAAATGAATCAAATCAAAATGAGCAAATTATGGCCAGCAGTAAGGAAGTGACTAAACAATTCACCAAAATTAAAACCTAAACTAAAGGGCTAAATTTAAACTAAATGGCCAAACACACAAAGTGAACTCAGAAATTAATTAAGTTGTTGAAAAACGAATTAAACAGACCAAGCAAGAAAAAACGTGGAACAAAACTTGGAAAAAAAAGATTAAAAAGAAACAAAACAGACAATAATCAATCTTAGCTAAAAGCTTGTCCAAATTTTAATTTATGTAATTGGAAAGAGAGAGAAGAAGAAAGGATGCTAAGAAAAAAAAATAATAAACAAATGGAAGTAAAGAACTCACTGATTCAGGCTCGACCTCAAGACTGACCTTCCGATCTAAATCTCGAAATAACGTTAATGGCTTGTCCTTTGTCAAGAACAAGCGAGTGACGCTATTTCGTGATAAAATCGACCCTAAAACTCATGTGAAACATGGAGCATCAACCTTGCATGAATGAATTCGTCTTTGACTTCAAGGGCTCGAACCCTAGATTCACAATTCGAAGAGTTTCAGCCATATTCGAGGGGAATGGAGTAAGGATTTGGGAAGAGGGGGTTTTGGTAGTTATGGGGTGTAATTTTGGTGGTGTTTTGGTAGTGGCGCCTCTGGGTTCGAGGCGGTGGAAAAGGGGGCGGCAGATTAGGGTTGGGGTTGTCGCTCTGAGAGTGAGTTGAGAGAGAGAGACGATGAGAGAGGGGGGGTCTAGTTTAGACAGCCTTATACTAAAGGACCTCCAGTTCTCCGCCGTCCGATTAAACAAAATCAACGGCCCAGATTGAGGGGCTTTCAAAACGGGGTCGTTTGGTCTCAGCGTAGGTTTGGACCGGGTTAGGGAACGGGTCTAGGCTGGAATTAGGCGGGTATTTGGGAAAAATGACTTGGGCCGGAAATTTCAAACTTTTTGGCCCAAAAAATCTGATCCTCTTTAAATCCTATTTTTTCCTTTTCTTTTTTTTTCAATTTCAAAATTCTTTTTCTTTTCTCAAAATCGAAATAAAACCTAGGCTAAATCCTAAATCAAATTAATCCTACCACATTGAATTAATTAACTCTAACTAAAAATTACCACAATTAATCAAAAGCCAAATTAAAGGAAAAACTACCAAAATTCAAAACTTAAATTAAAAAGTGCAAAATAAGTTATTTTTTTTGTGATTTTTCCATTTTTATAAAACAACTAATTTTCTAATTAGTCTAACAAATGTAAAATTAAGTCCTAAATGCAAATTGCAATAATTTTTGTTTTTTCATGAATTAAACAAAATAAACGTGCACAGACAAATGCAAGCAATTAGCAAAAATGCTACAAAAATCTACGAAATTGCAAACAATGGGGAAAATTTATTTTTCTTGAATTTATGGGAGTAATTCATATAGGAAAAAAAATCACGTGCTCACAGCTGCCCCTCTTTGCTCGAAAACACGAAGAGTTTTCGTGCAAAGATACAGTAAGCGGATACGAGCGATTTTTGCCAGTTTGAATACCTCATGGGAAGCATTTTTCAAATATTTGACAGTACTCTGCTTCCGAGGTTGCCTACATATCCTTGGCTATGAAGGAATCAGGTCAGTGTAGTTTAGGAAGTTTTGGTAGCTGGGACTACCATGAAGCTGTGATTTCACTGTCGCTGCTGCTGTTGCTACTGCTTACTAAACTCTTTCTTATACCAAGACAAAATGAAAGAAACTAGACTATACTATGATCTACGAATTACAAGAATCCTAACTATATCTTCAAACTTGATCTTGCGGTTCTTGTTGCCTTGTTGACATGTATTCTCCCGGTGAAGTCCCTTTGTTGCCGACTTGAATTGTAATCTGAGATGCTTTCCCTTTTCTCCAAGTGAACGCCTGATTGCTGAACTTTGAACTGTATTCCCATGCTCTCCATGTGGGCGCCTGACTGCCGAACTTGAACTGTATTCCCGTGCTCTCCAGGTGGGCGCTTGACTGCTAAACTTGAACTGTATTCTCGTGCTCTCCATGTGGGTACCTAATTTCAACAAAAATAGACAAACAAGAATATTTTCTGCCCCAGTTTGGTAGCTGGGCACATATGTGAGTGTTAAACTGAATCATGTTACCAAATATTACTAAGAACTTGAAAGCTAGGTCCTATTATCCAGGGGGGTCCTAACAACTCCTATTTAAATGACAATTTAAAATCTAAGTTATGTCTTTTAAAGGAGTGACTTCTGCTAAATCTTGTTATCTAAGAGGTCTTAAAACTACATTCCATTATCCAGAAGGGTCCTAAAAATCAAAACTCAAGTCTTATCTTACAACTTTTACGGCTGAATTATACTATCCTACAGCAAAACTTATGCTAAATCTTGTTATCTAACGGAAATCTTGAGGCTAGGTCCCATTATTCAGGAGGGTCCTGACAATTCGAATTGAATCATGTCCTAAGAATGAAACTTCAAAGTCAACTTATATTCCTTTAGGGTACATATATGCTAGATTTTGCTACTCATGATTGTTTTGAATTTTAAACTAGGTCCCATTTTCCAGGAGAGTCCTAAGAACTTCAAATTAAATCCCATTATCCAGGTGGGTCCTGAGAGTTTACGGTCAAACCTGTCTGGTGCTTGCCTTTCCTTATGGAGGGTTTCTCCGAAATAGCAAAACTTTCTGCCACTGTTCAATTTAAAGAAAAATCTTGTCAGTTTAAAATGTGGTGGTTAGTTGATGGTATTCTTGCTGAAGGTCTCTCCGCTATCGTGCTTTGTTTTGATTGGCTTCCCCGAACTGGCCCTGAACCGCTTGACTTTCTGACTGACTTTCAACCCACGTGACCTCGGATGACTCGAGTGTTCTATACCCAAACCGTTGTTTTACACCTTTGACCCCTTTACCTGAACCTCTGCATCTCCCATGAAATTATTAAATCATTCCGCCGATGGAACTTTCGCTGGCACTTTATATCCCACTTTACATCATACTATCTTTGGTATGTTCTGGCCACACTGTGCTTTGCAATTTTGAAGTTGGTAGTGAGCTTTGAAATCCTTTCTTATTTTCTTGACCAAGACTAACATTGAAACATCTTAGAGAAATGAAACCCAAAAGAACTGAAATTTAATGACCCTGAGAGTTAAGGATAAAGAAAATCCAAAACTGGATGACTTGCTAAAAAGGAAAAAGGAGAGAGATTTATCTGAGTGGAACAGCTGGTACCAATGATCATGACATGTATTTTGGATTAATCGGCCCAATATTTCCAACCAATAAACTTTCAGTTGCCATACTTTGTTGCCCCGGAGTTTCCATAACCTGACTTCTTCGCCAAAACCTTGACCTTGTTCGGCCTGCGGTGCCCTGAAGGGTTTTCACCAACAAGCCTCTCTCATTTGTTCATCTCTCAACTCACTTTCGCCTCAAGGTCTCTGTGAAGGTTTTTACCAATAAGACTCTCTCATTTTTTATTTCTCTCAGCTTTCATCGCCTTACGGTGCCCGTGAGGCTTTTCACCAATAAGACTCTCTCATTTTTATTATTTTTCCTGCTTGGACCAGAGTGTTGCCCCTAATATGAATCACCTCTACTTGCTCGACTTGGCAACTCTTGAAGACTGATCAGAAGGTCTTTCTTTGGACCGTAACAAGGGCTTTTGGACAGGGTCAGAAAGAAAGGGTGTCAAAGGCTCAAAACAATTCAAGTGGGTTCAAAATTACAACTTTTGGAATCATATTTCTTACAACAATCACAACTTCTGCCCTAGTTTCTTTGCTTGGGGACTTTTGGGATTTTATTTTGATGGGACGAAACCGTGAGGCTGCCTACGTATCCTTAAAAGGAATCTGGTTGAACGTAGTTCATGTCATAGAAATTGCTCTGTTGTTGTGATATTTCTTTCTTTTTCTTCCTGTTTCTCTTCTTTTCTTTTCTTTCTTCCTTTTTTGTTGTTTTGTTGTTGTTTTGTTGTTGTTTTTTTCTTTCGTTTTTTTCCTTTTCTTCTTCTTTTTTCTTCTCTCTCTTTTCATTCTTTTTCTTTTCTCTTTTTCCTTTACTTATCTTTCACGCTTGCGTTTCTGATCTTTCCTACTGATTCCAAAAGAGGGGTATGAAAGGAAATAAATAAGGCCCAAAAAAGGGGGTAACCAAGGATAAAGTGTTTGGATAGCAGAACAAAATACCTCCGTCATTCCAATCTTCAAAACATGCCAAGTGCAAACAAATACAATTTAACCAAAGAAAATCATACATAATATCTTTTGACCGCATCGGAATTGATGTCCATTTCTACACACTTGTCTTCTATGTCTGTTAAATACAAAGCACCATTGGACAACACTCTAGTTACGATGAACGACCCCTACCAATTTGGGGCGGACTTGCCTTTAGCCTCAACCTGATGTAGAAGGATACGTCTCAACACTTGCTGACCCACTTCAAACTTCCGCGGACGCACCTTCTTATTATATTCTCTTGCCATTCTCTATTGATATAACTGACCATGACATACTACTGCCAATCGTTTTTCATCGATCAAACTCAACTGCTCCATGTGGGTTTTGAGCCACTTGTCATTATCAATTTCGGCTTCAGCGACAATTCAAAGGGATGGGATTTCAACTTCTGCGTGTATCGCTACTTCAGTGCCATACACCAGCATATAAGGAGTTGCCCCTACTGAAGTACGAACAGTGGTGCGATAGCCCATCAATGCAAAGGGTAGATTTTCATACCACTGTCTAGAACCCTCCACCATTTTTTGAAGTATCTTCTTTATGTTCTTGTTGGCCGCCTCGACTGCTCCATTCGCCTTGGGGCGATAGGGGGTGGAATTGCGATGCGTAATCATGAACTGCTGACATACCTCTTTCATCAAATGACTATTGAGATTAGCACCATTGTCTTTAATGATCACCTTTGGGATCTCGAACCGATAAATGATATTCGAGTTCACAAAATCGATCACCGCTTTCTTGGTCACAGACTTAAAAGTTTTAGCCTCAACCCACTTGGTGAAATAATCGATGGCCACCAGAATGAACCTGTGCCCATTGGATGTTGTTGGCTCAATCAGTCCAATGACATCCATGCCCCAAACAACCAAGGGCCATGGTGCAGACATTGTATGCAACTCAGATGGCGGAGAATGAATCAAATCTCCGTGCACTTGACATTGATGACACATGCGCACAAAATTGATACAATCTCGCTCCATGGTGAGCCAATAATAACCTGCTCGAAGAATCTTTTTTGCCAGAACATACCCACTCATATGCGGTCCACAGACTCTAGAATGTACTTCGGTCATGATAGTTGTGGCCTGTCTAGCATCTATGCATCTTAACAATCCAAGGTCTGGGGTTCTTTTGTATAAAACTCCTCCACTAAAGAAAAATCCACTTGCCAAATGACGAATTGTTCTCTTTTGATCACTTGTGGATTGTACTGGATATACTCCCATTCTAATGTACTCCCTGATGTCGTGGAATCACGGTTCGCCATCAAGTTCTTCTTCCACCATGTTACAGTAAGCATGCAGATCGCGGACCTGAATATGCAAAGGGTCAACATAAGCCTTATCTGGATGATGTAACATTGATGCCAGAGTAGCCAAAGAATCAGCAACCTCATTATGGATCATTGGAATATGCCTGAACTCTACTAATCGAAACCGTTGACAAAAATCATGCAAACATTGTCGGTACGGTATGAGTTTT